ATGGGCAGGGAGGGCAGTATTTGAGTAAGTGTACATACTTAAGTGTGTATGTGTGCTCTGATGTTTGTGGATATAGGGACCATGGATATATTTTTGCATATGTTAACATGCACTTATAACGGTATATGTTTAAGGATGTCATTTTATCAAGTGTGGGTGTTTTGGTGGGGTGTGTATTTTGGCAGGAGAGTACATTTTGGCAGAGTTTGTCTGAGTATGGCTGTTGTAGATGCTAATTTGATCTTTTCTCTTTTCAGACCTCATTGGTGACAACCTTGGTGGGCTGCCCAGTGCTGATAAGAAGCATCACCCAGAGAGGACCAGACACCTCTTCCTCACTTCCTAATCTAGGTGGAAAGACTGCTAAATATACTCACAACTCTTTGCAAGCATCGTTGGGCAATGTCCAAACATCTTTCAGGGTTCCCTATCATCTTCACACAAAGTTGCACTTTTCAAGATAGGCTCTAGGCCAGCCAGCCTGGGAGTGATTCTTTAGCATGAGGAACAGGAATCAAGGACAGAAGAAAATAGCATTGTCCCTAAAACCTGTTAATGAAGAGTATAAAAAAGTAGGGATGTTAGCTATTTTACAAATTTCTGTCTTTAAACCCCTTCCTCCACCCCAAAGTGAACTGAGACAGAGACAAAAATAGATAATGCAAAGGTGATTGGGTTGAGGGAAGTGGTAAACCACCCATCGGGACTAAAGGAAAGATTGGTAAAATATAAATATGCAAAGGGATTTTTAATATCCAGGTCATGCTAACTTTTAAGTCCCTAAGAACCATTTCTGAGAACCTGTCAAGAGCTGGAGAAGAATCTGAAAGCTAAAAAGTAACACAACCCTTCAGGTGCTCTAAAGATTAAAAAAAAAAAAAAAGTAGATTCAGTTGTACAAAAGGTGCCTAAATTAGGCAACAACACTTCCTGATAGGAAAATGAGCATCTAGAATGTGCTAACATAATGTCTGCTCCATTCAGGCATTTTTTTATTTTTATTTTTTTTTAAGATTTTATTGGAGAATTGGGGGAGGGCAACAGCATTGGGGAATCAGGGAAGGGGAACAGACAAGTTGCTGTCCTTTTGTTCTTCAGTCTAGTTGTGGAGGATGT